AGAACTCAGGAACTGGACTCTTCTAACAGATTCTGACCTCTTTCTCTGTACCCCCATTTACCCATCTCCAAAATGGGAAGTCTGGCCAGATGATTTTGTTTACATTTTATCCTCTTCCCTTGGACAGAGGAGGAAATTGAGGTTCAGAAAGGGTAAATGACTTGCCCAAGGTCACAGAGAAAGTAGAAAGAATCCGGGTCTGTATGGCACCCAGTGAGTGTTGTGGGGTCCGTGCTGGTCATCAGTAATGTGGCCTCAAGGGCAGGACTCACGGTGATGCCTTGTGTGTAGCTAATCTATCCCTGGACATCAACTTACCATCAATTCACTCATCACACACTGAATCTTAGACCTGAGCAGGGAACTGGGACATAGAGATGAGGTAAACATGATCACTGTCCCTAAGGTAGGGAGGGGGCAAAAAGACACAAATTACTAATAAAAGGTTAATGGTACTAAGCAGACACCTCAGAGACGGTAAAGCTCTGCTGTCCCTATGACAGCACCATGTGGTTTTTAAACTTAATTAAAACATTCAGTTCTTCCTTCATGCTAATCACAGGTCAAATGCTCAACAGCCACATGTGGTTAGTGACTACCATATTGGGCAGTGTTGGGTTAAAGAGTGTTTTCTAGAGTTGGGCCGTGGGGAAGGCTAAGAATTCCAGAGAAAAGGAACAGTCTGAGCAAAACAGAGGTGTATTAGCGAGCAGCTTGACTGAGGGGACGAGGGGAAGACAGCGCATGCCAGCTGGGAGCACGGGCTCCAGGTTCCAAGACCTGCTTTTCCGCACTCTGTTGTGAATTCTGACAAATTACGTCACCTTTCTGGTTGTGTGTGTGTGTGGTTTTTTTCCTCCATCCAGCCCAAAATGTCAATACTTCACCTTTCTATGCCTCACATTTCTCAGCCATATGACAGGGATTATAACCCTTGCTGTGAAAAGTAATGAGTTTACACACATATGTACGTGGTACTTCTCTTAGAATGGTGCTTACAAGTAAGTGCTAGTCAGCGTAAGCACTTGGGCCTAGAGACTGGAGAAATTGCCAGGGGCCAGCTCATAAGGGCCCAGGCCTTTTTCCAGGGGGCAGGAGCATGGCTAGCAGCCAGATGGGAAGGAGGAGCACCGGCTGTGGACTCCTGCTCTCCCACCCGGCTCTGGCAGGATGTCTCAATCTGCAGGCTGTGTCGACCCTCCTCATTGTCCTCACAGCCCCTATTTCTCCCAGCTAAACTGTCAACAGTCAGGCTGATTCAAGGATCACGTCTTTCTTGCAGGTGGACATTGCATCGGGGATGGCCATTGAAGGGATATGCTATGCCCAGGTATGTGGCTGCTGCCAGTCCATGCATGCTTGTTAACAGAGGCGGAGCCAGAGTTGGGGGACACTGTATAGTACAGGACCAATTTAGAAGGTTCCTCCCAACCCTAACAGTCTGACTGCATGCCACCGCCTAATTAACCTGGAATGGTTCCAAGGGAGCCACCCTGCTTATCCCTGGGAATATTTCCTCAACCATTTGACGGTGGTACGTCCTGGCCCACTTAGTGCCCAGAGAATCACAGGAGAACGCAGAGGTACTGGAACAGCTTCTGGCATTGTAGAGGCCAGGCTGGGCTGGTATGTCAAAGCTTAGTTACAGCCCGCTGGCCGTGTGTGTTCAATGGAAGGGCTATAAACCTGGGACTAACCTATTCAGTCTCTCACTCCTGGGTAAAAAAGTGCTGGTCTCCAGGTTAAGAAATATCCAAAACATTCCTAAGTGAGGGGTCTTGGGGCTTGCAGAACCTAGTGTGAACCACCTACATATCCAGATTCAAAGCCAGATTTCTTGCTGCAAAGGCTAGTCTTTCTTCTCTGCAGAGGAGCCTCATTATCAGACTGTGGCAGAAGGTAGGGAGCACTCTGTAAACACATAAGCAGTGTGCAAATAGAGGCTAATGGCCATGGGACACAGATCCTACAGAGGCTGGCCCACTTTCCCCAGGAGACCAAGGAGCCACTCGTTATGCCTTTGCATGGCTCAAGACTAAAGTCCAGAAACAATGGAAACACTTGGATCCTGGCCTTGTCATGGACTGAACAAGCTTAAGCAACTCTTTTTGGGCCTGTAGCCCTGTTCCCCCCAAATTAATATTCTGTACATTGTTGTAGAACATCCCAACCCGGGACCGGCTAGAGGGCATGGCAGCCTTCAGGGAGAAGCGGCCCCCAAGATTTGTTGGAGAGTAACCCCTGTTTAACCTTAAGCATGGGAGATGGATGCCTTTAAGAGCAGGATCCAGAAAGAAAATCTGCAGCTGGGTTGCCCTCACCATTTCACCTCTCTGGGCTTCTGTTTCTTCACAAGGACAACAATGGATATGAAATAATTGGCACAGTGCCTGGTACCTGGGTGCTGACTATACCACTTACTGCTACCTTCCTCATCCTCACCATGACTAATCACTAGGTTGGATTTGCTTTGGAGAATGCCTGTCTCTCCCTACTTGAATGATAAACTAAGGATTAAAACAGATCCCTCTGGGTTTTTGTATCATTGGCTCTCAGGCCCTCTCTCAATTATCAGGCACTCACGAGAGATGTCAAGAGATTTTGAGAAACCCATAGTTTCTTCCTCTGGACAAGAGATAATCAATAAACCCTGGTTATTGGGTGAGCACGTGTCAGCAGTCAGACCGCAGACCTTGGCTCTCTGCCAGTCACTTGCTGTGTAACCTTGGACAATTTGTGTAACCTCAGCTTCCTCATCTGCAAAATGAAAATGTTGTGAAGATTTTTTAAAAATAAAAACTCACGTTCAATAAATGTGTTCCAATTGTTAACTTACAATATTCTTGTGAGGACTAAATGAAATCATCACTGTGAAAATTCTGTGTAAACTACAGGGTGACGGGAAATCTTTCACGGCCTTCAGGAGCATTGAGAAGGGTGCAATTAACTTTGATGGAGAGAAGGGAGGATCAGGAAATGGGCAAGTAACATTGGAATTGAAGCCCGAGGATTAACAGGCATGTGAAGCAAAGAAGCCACCTAATGCAAACATCACAAGCAAAGGTGAACAGAGGATGACGCCCTTAGGAAGCAAAGAGGGGGCTGATACATATGGCTGTTGACACTAATAGGGATCCCTCCTCTTGTATCAAGGCTACATTGTAAGCTGTGGCCGTGTGATCATTCTCTAACTGGATCTGAGTTCTGGCTAAGCATCCTGAGCCTAGGCCTGGCCTAGAGTCACTAAAGCATGAGCATGGACACATATGAATAACATTGTTGACTTGCTGCTAAATACAAATATGCCCCAAGGTTATGCTTGTACCATGGATGGGAGAGTAATACAGAACCAACCCAGGCCTTACAATCAGCACAGACCATACCAGCTAGGACTACTCCACAAAGCAACCACCTTACTGAACTTCCTTTTCCTCATCTGTTTAGTAAGTAAAATGAAACTAACCTATCCCTGACAATTATTATGAACAAGAAAAAAAGGGTGCCTAGTATAGACCTGGCCCTCAACACAGTGATTCCCACCTCACAACACACCCTCCCATTAGCAAAAGCCAGGATCTGATGACACAATGTTCCGAGGCACTAGAACCCAGGTCAGGAAACTCAAGACGCCCTTGCCAGTATCATGCAGAAGAGTGTGAGGGAACAGTGCAGTTCAAGGACTATTGAAGGAAATAGGTTACAAATCCTGCTTATCTAGTAGGACACTGTTAATAGTTTGGAATGTGATTTTTTTTTTCTCCTTGATTCCAAAAGATGGTACATGGTACTCCAGTTAAGAGTCTGGACCAAGCTAGCTAAAAGCACAAAAATCTACTTCTAAGCTATGCTAATAATCAAACAGGAATTTACTTTTGTTTTTTGAAAAACTTAAAAATAAATGATAAAACATGTTCATCAGTAGTCAATAAGGCAAGGAAGGAGTTCATACTCTATTCCTCAGAGCAGCGTTGCAGAGGCCACAAACAAAAGCTGCTGATATAGTTTATTAAGTTGTAGGATAAAGGGCCAAAGAATACTTAAAGTTGTAAAAATATATATTTTTCTTTTTTTTTTCATATTGCAGGGCTTTTATTTATTTTTAAATTTCAGTATATTTCAGGGGTACAAATGTTTTGGTTACCTAAATTGCTGTTGTACCATGAGTCAAGGTTATAAATGTGCCCATCCCCTGGACAGTGTGCATTGTACCTATTAGGTGTGAATGTACCCAGCCCCTCCTCCCCAAAATATATATTTTTCTTTCCTTCCTTCAAGTGAAAAGTACTTTGGTATCTAAGGGGTGGGAAGGGAGGAAGGCAGGCAGGCAGGGACGGGAGAAAAGGAGTGGGAGGAAGGGAATAAAAGAAGGGAAGAGGAAGGGAAGGAAGGGGAAGAAAAGAAGGGAAGGAGGAAGGGAAGAAGAGAAGGGAAAATTATTTTTTATCCTTTCACCAGAAGTTCTGCCTTACACACAACATATTTATAAGCATACTTCCCACTTTCTTTTTATATACTTCTTTTCTGGTAGCTTCACATAAGCACAAATAACTACTCAGGAAACTGAACATAAATGCCAAGGTCTCCCTATAGGTCTTAACTTTCTTCTGCTGGGTAACTGGTCCCATTCCCCTGACATGCTCTCAAAGTAAAAAAGTTATCCAGGGCTATGTAACTGGCATAGCTATTCCCACACAAACTTTTCCCAAGATTCCATGGTTTAATTCTTCATGGTTTAATTGCTGCTGAAGAGGTGTCCCCAGAATGATTCCAACTTGATTTGGGATTATGGCTATCTACAAATCCAACCTTTTTGTAACTTACAGAAAATCAACAATAAATGGCCAATGAGATAGCCAACTCACAAACTCCCAGATAGAAAATCAACAATAAACGGCCAATGAGACAGCCAATTCACAAACTCCAACAACTGGTTTCAACATTCAATTACTGACAGGGCAGAGGAACTGACGTTGAAGAACAGAGAGCACCCACGAAGCCCCTTAGGTTAAGAACTGCATTCGACACAGAGGGAGTCTCTGATAATTCATGAAATGCATTCTGAAGTCATCTAGAATGGAGGCTGCAATCTGCTGTGCTTGGGGGTTTGCCTCACTGTGCTCCTGGATATCACACAGAAGTTGTAATCCTTCTTCTTCGACTAACATTTTGCAGTATTTGCTGGCTGAAAGAAAATTAAACAAAGACACTCCATGGACAAATGACATTTTAGATATCCCCAAGTCACCACATTCACTGTTCTGAAGAAACAATACAAAGGTTTAAGCCCTTTGGCCCAGGAATTAACAGATAAAATGAGTCAATTCTAAAGAAGTATGTCAAAACTTAAATAATGCCTGGCTTGTATGGTGAGAAAACAGATGATCATTTTAGTATGTTTACTTCCAGACAACTCTATGCTTCAAACATCTTTAATCCTAGCTAAAAAGATGCAAACTTCTTTTATTACAAAGATAATACACTTTTCAAGTTCAGGCAATATGTTGGACTAAATAACTGAAAACATCAGATATTGGATACACGATTATTTGTAAATATTTTAATGCATCGTTGAATGTACAAGGTGAAGAAATTTTCCAGGATCCAGAAACAAAGCACTTAAGCTCATTTAGCTAACCTGTGGCTATCCTGGGGCAGAAGGGGACTGTTAGTAATCTAGGAATTTAAATTTTAACTTGGAAAGTTGCAAGCAAAATCAGTGCATAAAGCTGGACCCTCAGAGGGCTACATAAGAGAAGGGATAAGACAATGAAGCACCCTGTCTCAGCCTGGGCTCTAGGGGTATGCAGGAGTAGAAGAGAAGTCTTTCCTGAGAATTCATAGCCACGGTCCCAAGTGGGTAACAGGGTTTGAATTTATACTACCTGAATGTTGCTGAGAAATTAATATAAAAATTAGCTCAAGCATAGGAAAACCTATAGGAGCATTTCACAGAAACAAATATAAAACTGCGCTGAAGGGACACATCAATCCACTCTAAAATGGATTCTCACAGAAAAACAAGGCCTGCTAAAGGTGATCTCATAATCCAAAAGAACAGCTAGACAATACCCCACCAACATGCATACACGATAAGATCAGATAAAGACCATAAAATAATTACTTTTACAGAATAAAAACCAGGATAAAGACTTGAAAGAGCAAATAAAAACTATATACATTTAAAAATGCGTCACTGGGCCGGACGTGGCAGCTCATGCCTGTAATCCTAGCACTCTGGGAGGCCGAGGCGGGAGGATCGCTCAAGGTTAGGAGTTCAAGACCAGCCTAGGCAAGAGCGAGACCCTGTCTCTACTAAAAATCGAAAGAAATTAGCTGGACAACTAAAAATATATAGAAAAAATGAGCTGGGCATGGTGGCGCATGCCTGTAGTCCCAGCTACTCGGGAGGCTGAGGCAGGAGGATTGCTTGAGCCCTGGAGTTTGAGGTTGCTGTGAGCTAGCCTGACGCCACGGCACTCTAGCCCAGGCAACAGAGCAAGACTCTGTCTCCAAAAAAAAAAAAAAAAAAAAAAGCGTCACTGAAATTAAAGGTTTAATCAGTCCAAGAGCAGGTTCAGACATAGACCAAGAGAGAAATAATGAACTCAAAAGCACATCCAAGGTGATTACCCAGAAAGTAGCACAAAGGAACAAAAACATGGGCTATGGTTTGAGTGTGTCCCCCAAAAGTTCACATGTTGGAAATTAATTCCTCAATGTGGCAGTGCTGGGAAATGGGGCCTAGTGGGAGGTGCTTAGGTCATGCAGGCTCAGCCCTCATAAAGAATAGTGCAGCTCTCTCAGGACTGAGTTAGTTCTCCCAAGAGTGGGCCTGCTCTTTTTTAACACGTGCTTGCTTGTTCTTCTGCTCTCCCACCAGGCTATAAAGCAGCACCAGGCCCTCAATAGATGCAGCCACCCAATGGTGGACTTTCTAGCTTACAGAACCATAAACTAAACCTCTTTCCTTTACCGATTACTCAGTGTCAAATATTTTTATAGCACAGAAAATGGACTAAGACAACATGTAAACTATTAAAAGTGGGGGGGGAGAGGTTCCAAGATGTGGACGATAGAATGAGAAAAGGTACGATACATGCCTGTAGAAGTTCCACAAGAAAAAAATCGAGAAAATGGAGGAACAGTAATATTTTAAAAGAACACAGCTGAGAATTTTCATTATCTTGGAAAGACATGAATTCTTTTTTTTTTTTTGAGACAGAGTCTCACTGTGTTGCCCAGGCTAGAGTGCCGTGGCATCATCCTAGCTCACAGCAACCTCAAACTCCTGGGCTCAAGCGATCCTTCTGCCTCAGCCTTCCACGTAGCTGGGACTACAGGCATGCGCCACCATGCCCGGCTAATTTTTTCTATATATATTTTTAGTTGCCCAATTAATTTCTTTCTATTTTTAGTAGAGATGGGGTCTCGCTCTTGCCCAGGCTGGTTTCAAACTCCTGAGCTCGAACAATGCGCCCGCCTCGGCCTCCCAGAGAGCTAGGATTACAGGCGTGAGCCACCGCGCCCAGCCCAAGATATGAATTCTTAAATTTGGGAAACAGAAGTCCAAAGCATAATAAATAAAAATAAATTTACAGGCCGGGCGCCGTGGCTCACGCCTGTAATCCTAGCTCTCTGGGAGGCCGAGGCGGGCGGATTGTTCGAGCTCAGGAGTTCGAAACCAGCCTGAGCAAGAGCGAGACCCCGTCTCTACTAAAAATAGAAAGAAATTAATCGGACGACTAAAAATATATAGAAAAAATTAGCCGGGCATGGTGGCGCATGCCTGTAGTCCCACCTACTGGGGAGGCTGAGGCAGGAGGATCGCTTGAGCCCAGGAGTTTGAGGTTGCTGTGAGCTAGGATGACGCCACGGCACTCTAGCCCGGGCAACACAGTGAGACTCTGTCTCAAAAAAAATAAAAAAATAAAAATAAATTTACAGATAAAATGTAGTAAAACTGCAGATTAGCAAAAAATAAGAGACCATAAAGGCACCCCCCCCGAAAAGAAAAATTACATATCAAGGAATGATAATTAGGCTGACAGCAGACCACAACAGCAACAACAGAAAATGGAAATAATGGAAATATTTTTTCTCCCAAATGCTGAAAGAAAATAACTGTCATTCTAGAATTCTATACCCAGCTATACTATTATTTAACAATAAGAATTTGGGGGTGGGGGGCGGATTTTGTCACTAACAGACCATCAAAACCTGAACCAAGAAAAGGAGTGGGGTAAATGAAGCAATGGTGAGCAAAAGAAAATGGTAAACATTTGGGAAAATTGAAATAAACATTGACTGTATAAAATAATAACAGCTAAACTACCTTTAAGGATTTGAAAACAAGGTAGAACTAAAATATACTGATTAGCCATTTCTTGGATGGAAATATTTATTTGTCATAGAGATGGGAATTCCCTTGAAGTTGATTTATAAACTTAACATGATGCTCATAAAAATACTAAAAGGACTGCTTTGGAGGAAGAATTTGAAAAGGTAAGTCTATAGTTGATATGAAAAAACAAGAAATAGCCAACATAAATGAGAGTAAGTAATGTACTAATCTTTCCATATACTAAAGTATACTGTAACACATCAACTGTTGAAACAGTGTGGAGTTAACGCATGGAAAGGTAAAACGGATAATCCAAAAACAGACCAGAAAAATCAAGAAGAGGGTAGCTTGCTTATCAGCAGGAAAAATATGTACTATTTAATAAAAGATGATATTGGGACAAAGTATTATAGAAATCTAGAAAACATTAAGTTATATTCATACCTCAGGCCATACATCAAGAAAAGTTTCAAATACATCAAAGACTAATATGAAAAACGAAACCACACTAGAACATGAGACATCTCATAATGTAAGTGTAAACATGACCCAAAATCCAAAGGCTATATAACAAAAGATTTAATTATAAACATAATGGACAAAATCAGACAAACTGAGAAAAAATATTTAACACATATATCACAAATACCTAATATATAAAGAGTTCCTTCAAATCAAAAAGAAAAAGACAAAATAGACCAAAAGCACAAAAAGGATATCAACAGATAATTCACAGCAAAGGAAATGACACATAAGAATATAATAAGAAAAGATGGTTAACTTTATTTAAAAGAAATGTCAACTGAGACTGTCACTTTCACTTTAAATTCAAAAAGTTCAATTAACATTTTTGGAAGAACGTAGGGGAACTGGCAAGATCTCATACACTGCTAATGGGAATGCAAATTGGTAATCAATTTTTTGGAGGGCAATTTAGCAATACCTATCAAAATTACACGTTTTTAAAAACCCTTTGCGGGAACATATATTCAAAGCAACTTGAATCTGTTCCCTGGGTTGCAGTTGTCAAATTTGGCCCAAATAAATTCTCTATTTATTAAAAAACAAAACCAAACAAACAAAAAAACACCCCTTGACTTAGCAATTCCAAGGATTCTGCTGATTAATTCATACACTTGCAAAATGGAGTCGTTATTTAACAAACGCTCGTATGAGCCAAGCACTGTTCTAAGTGCTTTACAAGTATTAACTCAATTCTCATAACCACCATATGACGTAGGTATTATTATCCCCATTTTATAGATGAAACTGAGGCATGGAGGAGCTGAGTGCCTTGCTCCAGATAGTAAATGGCAGAAACTGGGAATACAGCACAGGTAGTCTGGATCCAGTATCTGTCCCCTAAATCACAACACTATTGCATATGTGCATCTTGCTTTTTCCATTTATATATGTTATTATTTATTGAAGTAGTGTTTGTAATAAGAAAAGACTGGAAACAATGTCCATCATCCAAAGGAGACTGGTTAAATAATTATTACATCCATAAGGGTGAAGAAATACTTAGTAGTCATAATTATTAACGGTGCTGCTTCTGGAGTCAGATCATTAGGTTACAATCTTGGCTCTGGCAGCTACAAGCCGTTTTAAACTTGGGCAAGTTACTTAACCTCTCTGTGCCTCAGTTTTCTCATCTATGATGGATGATAATAATGACGCTACTAGTTGTGAAGACTAAACGAGTTATGCATAAAGAGCTTACAACACTGCCTGGCACACAGTAAGTACTCAACTAAATTCTAACTGTTATTACCGTTACTTCTGTTGTAACTGAATATACTGGAGTCAGTTTCAAGGCCATTCTGATCCACTAATCTGCCTGTCTATTCATATGTCAGCACCACTCATAGCACCTTTTTATAATGTTAAGAGAACTGTTAGGGCACGCTCCTAAAA